CAAAATCTCCGGAGAAAAGTGGCAAAAACACCTACGATCTATGCTGCCCAGGACATCTGCGCTGGGTGCTGGCATGGGAGTCTTTTGAACACTGGCTGCCTTCACTTGTCTGTACTTTTCCACTGCAAGAATCATCATACTGGTAAGCAAGACAGTCATTTTTATTCTAATTTATCAGTTTGGCAGACATACATGTATAGGCTGTCACAATCTATCATCCTTTTGGTTGTCTTATGGGATAGATAGACTGATCTGGACAATTACTGTGACAGGTAATGGATAGTACATACTAAGCTGTTTTAATTCCATGAATTCGTAGCCAGAGTGCTTAAATTTTACACCTGTGCATCAATGCATTCTACATAGTATATGATATAGCATATTTGGTGCACTAATTAAGTAAGCTGTTTTTATATGGTTGTCCCTTGATACAAGGAAACATTAGAGAGAGAGATTGTCAAGATGTACATGTAGGTGGAAGAAGCTCCTACCATTATCACCATACTCCAGCCTCACAGCATAACCCAGCAGCCAGTCCATCACAGCACTTTTGTCTCCATGGTTAACAGGACATGCTAGCTCCTCTAAATACTATGGTGGAAGGAAATAAGGAAGACTTGGTTAATAATTACCGTATCAGCTGCATCTGCAGGTCATGTGTATATCTATTCATCCAGAAAAGCGATTATAGTAAGATCCAATAATTCTGCTTTTTTGTGTCACCCACCATTGCCCTGTACATGTAACGTTACATGTACATGTACTTAAAATCAGATTACATTAGATTCTGTCTGCCCCTCACATGTGGTTGAATGCTTGCTTTTGAACCTTGACATGTCTTTCTACTCTTTGACTGGCAAATGCCAAGCCCCACCAAGCTAGACATGTAGAAGTACACACAGAACTGGTCATGTTTGGCACATGTCAAGCAACTATCATCACATACTAGTACCTGTTTGAATGCTGTTGGCCAGTCTGCACTCTGAATGTTACGTAGATTTGCTCTGTCTTCTATTTTGTAGTGTCGCACCTTCTGGTCCTCAAGCCAAACTATCATATTTTGGAATTGTGCCTCATCTGCAAGTGTTGGAAAAATGCTGTTACCAGAGTGAATAATAAACATACTGGTAACTTACGTGCCCAATATGTTGAGACCTGTCCAATGGTACCATAACTATAAGAGCTGCTCCAAGTCTGACAGCATCACAGCTTATGCGGTGTGGCATTTTGTAATCTGTTGTCTTGCTAATAATAATAAATGTCTGTTGAACTTATCAACATCGTGGCTTGTACTATATGCTCTGGCAATGTGCTGTTTATAGATGAGCATTAATAGATTTCTAAGTCTAACTATAATCAATGTTACATGGGAATGGCAATTTCCATTGCTTCAGTTATCATCATTTCAGTTTTGTTACCTGTTAAAATATTTTGATATACATTTGTACTGGTAAATCTCAGACAAATGATTTGCACTCAAATTAGGTTCAAACCCTCGTGCTCAACGTGTCCCTTCATCATCAACTGTGTCCCTTATTTGAATGACAAAACTGAATGAGAAGACCATAAAAAGATGTGATGTTAACGTTAACGGGTTTACTGTATATTCAGGTGCAGAGTAGAGCTGAGTACAGAGCTGAAATACACTCCTGCAAATGACAGAAGACTGATAGTGATACCACTTCATCAAATGTTGTCCCAGACAGGTGCTCTTCCGCGCTGGAGATAGGGGGAGGGCTGCAGGGGGAGGGGGACGTTAAGACGGATCTCTTCAAAATTTCACCAACTATATATACCCACTAGTCAAACGGGGGGAGGGGGGCAGATTTTCATCGAACTACCACTAGTCAAACTACATAACGCGCAATGCCCACCTGCAATGTTAAAACTGTTCGGTTGGTGGTATTCTAGAGCTGCGAGTTTCCTGCGGAACATGTTGTCGGTTTTGAACGATAACCTAAAAACGAGAAAATTATACGAGCCCAATCCAGAATCCCCCTTGGGTTGCAGACGACAGCGAACACTACCGGACACGGCTGACAAGACCTGGGACCGGCATGCTTTGCGCATAGAATCTGGCGGGAAATTTACATCTTGATTGCCCTTGATGTCCTCGTGCTCAGCATCTACTCTACAAGCAGAGGTTGTTGGGAATGATCGTTAATTTTTTTTATATATGGCCCTTTTTGTCGGTACCCCCACCCGTCGGTGGCCGGCGACCTTTCTCTGGCTATAAATGGATAGGGATCTGCTTGGAGATTACTCAGCGTTCGCAAAGCATTTCTTTGATTTCCGTTTATACCTATGTCGACTTGGTTTAAATTTGTCCTCGACGTGGTTTCATTCTCCGTGGAGTTTTTTTTACACATGGTAAAGGCGTCGGCGAGCGACCTCAAGAAGCGGATAATCAGGTTGTTCAAGTCTACGTGAACTTTAACCCCAACATACCTAATTATCTACACCAGTCCACCATTTTGTTTAGATGAGTGCACTGCATAGAGAGCGGTTTGCAATATCTTCAAACCTTCTTGGTCAAACTGAAAAGCCGGATTGATTAGGAACCACCACTGACCGGAAGGTAAGACCTCTGGGGCCCTCTGGTCCAAACTACATGTAACAGTTACAAGTACTCACTGAGTGAAAACTTCCTTCGATGAATCAAATTATGCTTTAGCCTGGTTGCGAGCTCCGTAGTTTCCGCCCACTCCCTAATGTCGCTGGTTGTAGCGGGCGGAAACTCTGGAGGATCGCACCAAGGGTAGCATCACCCAGACTATCGGTAGTCTCCACCTGACTCCTTTGCAAGCTGAATAAATAGTATAGTAGAAATCGGCATAAAAAGGGGATTTGGCCAGATGGACCCTCTCTGGCCGGCCAACTCCTCTGGCCAAATACTAAGTAATTATTAAATCCCCTTTTTAGGCCGATTTCTAAAGGAGTCTGATGGAGACTACTATCAATGCCTCCCACTTGACCTGTGATATTTATGCAAGTAAGACCAAGGACGTGGTCAGTAGTAGCATTAAAATCACATGCACATATTACGTTACTAACATACTAGTAGATATGAAATGAAGAAATGATGCAGAATTTGGTACAGTGTACATTGTTAATCCACGCCCAAGATAATATCCATAACATTATGATTTTGTAAATATAACGTTATAACGTCAATGATACATATTTGTATAAAGTTTCTAACATCATGCGTGGTCAATATTTCAATTTTCTGTACAAGTAATGGTAACCTTATTTCCTATTTGTAACTAGAAATGGCCAAATCATCTGGACCTCATACTAGTATCAGTGTGGGAAGGACACAAATGGCAGGCAGGAGGACCAGACAGAAGCAGGAAAAGCAGCAGGACAAGGGAAAACAAAACTCTACTAGGTTTGACAAAAAAGCCTTGTCACATCCAACTTACAGTTGTAATCAATGTGAATTTTCTACCCGCTCAAAAATCAGCTTCAAACGACACATGGATAAACATGGCATTGAGAAACCGTATTCATGTGAAGACTGTGGATTCAGGACAGCTTTTCGGGGTTCTTTAACCAGACACAAGAGGAAACATTCAGGTGAAAAACCTTACAAGTGTGAACATTGTAATTTTTGTACTGCAAGGAGAGACTACATGGACCAACACATGGTTAAACATTCAAATAAAAGGCCTTACAAGTGTGATCAGTGTGACTATGCAGCAGCACGGAAAGACTATTTGGACAGTCACCTGGTTAAACACACTGGTGAAAAGCCATACATGTGTGATGAGTGTGGATACAGGACACCTTATAGGTCTCGCCTATCAGAACATATGAAAACTCATAAAGAGAGAAAACCTTACAGCTGTGAACATTGTGACTTTTCTACTCGTTGGAAAGTCAATTTTCAGCAACACATGGCTAGACACAAGGGCGACAAACCTTACAAGTGTGATCAGTGTGACTATTCTGCAGTGCGGAAAATCTATTTGGACAAACATCTGGTTAACCACACTGGAGAAAAACCTTATATGTGTGGAATATGTGGATATGGCACAGCTTATAAGTCTCACCTAGCAAGGCATATGAAGAAACACACAGGCAAAAAACCTTACCGGTGTGAACAGTGTGATTTTCATACTGTGAATAAAAGCCAGTTCGAACAGCATGTGGGTAAACATACAGGTGAGAAACCTTACAAGTGTTGTCAGTGTGATTTTTCCACTGACCAGAAAGACCACCTAGAACAACACATGGTTAGCCACAGTGGTAAGAAACCTTACCCAGGTGGGGAACGTGGACACAAGTCAGCTCATAGGACCCAAGTTTCACGAGATACGAGCAAACGTAAAGATGGCAAACGTTACAGCTGTGATCAATGTGGCTTTTCCACCAGTTCAAAGAGCACCTTACAACAACACATGGGTAAACACAACACTGAGACACCTTACATATGTGGAGAGTGTGGATTCAGGACAGCTTTTCGTTCTTCTCTGTCTCAACACATGATAATGCATACAGGTGTCAAACCTCACAGGTGTGAACATTGCAATTTTTCTACTGCAAGGAGAGACTATATGGACCAACACATGATAAAACATTCAGGTGAAAAACCTTGCAAGTGTGATCAGTGTGACTATTCTTCAGTACGAAAAGTGTATTTGGACAAACACATTGTTCGTGAACACATGGGAGAGAAACCCTACGTGTGTGAAATGTGTGGATATGGAACAGCTTATAAGAGCCTTCTATCTCGACATATGAGGAAACACAAAGGTGAAAAACCTTACAAATGTGAACAGTGTAATTTTTGTACAGTAAGTAAAATCCATCTAGAGCAGCATATAGTTAGCCACAATGATAAGGGTTTGACCATTAAGAAGCCTTTCATGTGTGAAAAGTGTGGATTCAGGACAACTTACAAGTCCTTCCTATCCCGTCATATGAGGAAACATACACGTGAAAAACCTTACAAGTGCGAAGAATGTAATTTTTGCACTGCAAGTAGAAACTATTTGGACGAGCATATGGTTATGAAACATTCAAGGGAAAAACCTTACAAGTGTGATCAGTGTGACTATGCTGCAGTACGGAAAGACTATTTGGACAAACACCTGGTTCAACACACTGGAGAGAAACCATACATTTGTGAAGTGTGTGGATATGGTACAGCTTATAAGCCCAACCTAACACGACATATAAAGAAACATAACAAAAGTGCAGAACAATACAATTGTGATCTCTGTGATTTTTCTTCCCCTTGGAAAGTCAATTTGCAGGAACACATTGGTAGACGTCACACAAGTCCAAGTGACAAACCTTACCAGTGTGATCAGTGTGACTTTTCTGCAGTACGGAAGTTTGAATTGAAGGAACACCTGTTCAAGCACACCGGAGAAAAGCCTTACATGTGTGGAATATGTGGATATGGTACAGCTCATAAGCCTCACCTGTCACGACATATGAGGAAACACACAGGTGAAAAACCTTACCGGTGTGATCTTTGTGACTTTTCTACCTGTTGGAAAGTCACCTTAGAACACCATATTAGAAGACACACCGGTGAGAAGCCTTACATGTGTGGGGAGTGTGGATTCAGGACTGCTTCTAGATATCGACTGACACGTCATTTAAGGATACATACGGGTGAAACCTAATAAGTGTAATAACTGTAACTACTCTATAGGTTAGGAAAGACAACTTTAAACAATACACGATTAAACATATTGGTGAGAAACCTCAGGATACATGTATTTGTATTTATTTGTATTTATTGGTAATTAAACAAATCATTACAAGGGTCAGCACACATATGATCAGTATGTGACTTTTCTGCAGTGCAAAAAGATGATTGACACCTGGACCACAGAGAAGATATATCCAGGAGCTGCCGGGGTAGGTCTAAGTCTGGTAACCAGGCTACTTGCTCTGTGCCTGAGCATCGCTATGTACCCCGGTCGAGTGCCGGCGTGGTCCTGCCAGACGAGGTGGAACTTGTCTTAGAATAGACACATCATTGGTTCATTACACGCGGCTCTTGAAGTTGCGTCCGGGAACCTTTTGGTATTGCATAATTGAATCAATAAATATTATCCCTTTTTCCATGACCAGGTCAATATGCAAATTTAACCGGTGAAGCCACATTGTGTTCAGGCTGAAGTCGGAATATGTTGAAACCGACTCGAAACAGTTTCAATGTGACTACAGGTGTTCAGACGGAGCCACATTAAGGGTGCATGTGAATAAACCATTCACTCTTTCTCTCTCTCTCTCTCTCTCTCTCCCTCTCTCTCTCTGGTGGACTCCGACATCAATACAGTTTTGCAAGCTTAATGTGAAGAGGGCCTTACTAAATACAGGTGGCAGTGCGGATCCTGAATTTTCCAGGAGGGCCTGCATGCCCTTTTCCGTTAACCGTTATGGGCTATTTTAATTCACCGTTAATCGTTGCCGACCCGCTCTAATTCAATGTTAAGCGTTATCGGTATATTTCTCGTGAAGCGTTATTGGTCATATTAATTATTCGTAAAGCGTTATTTGTCATCCCAAATCAGCGTTAAACGTTACTGAATAATTCTTCGTTACGCATAGACCTGCGTTCTAGTAGTCAAACCTCAAGAAGCAGTCGTCACTTTGCCCCTCAAAATGCAGGAAAATGCGTTATTGAAGGTTTAAAAATGCAAAATTTCACGGGGGAACATGCCCCCGGACCCCCCTACATTGCTCGCGCCTTTGGCACTCGACTCGTGCCTGCTGCGCTCGGTCCCCCTCTTCAAGTATTTGTGGGCGGCCTCGGGGACCAAGGCAGGCGTGGAACAGAGGGTACTAGTGTGAACACACTTCGTTACATACATTTCGTCAGCGATCACTCTATCTCACCAATTCAGATATCGAATATAACACAGTGGAGTTCGAAAAAATGCATGTCAATTTGCCGTTATATTAAAGCGTCACCAACCGTCCTAAATTTACCGTTAAGCGTTACCAACCATCCTGAATTTGACGTTAAGCGTTTTCGGGCCTGCTGAATTTACCGTTAACCGTTACAAGGACACCCCCATGCAGACCCTCTTCCAGTCTTGCTTGGATCATGACAAGAAAGATCAAAGCCTTATACTATATAGTTATAGCCCCATACTATAACAATTTTTTGTTACTTCTGGGTACAGAACTTGTTTCGGGTGGTTGAGATTAATGTTACTGGTTTGTCAGTGCAATTGCATGATGGGTGGGAGGTGATTTTGACATTTGATTCGTGATCATTGATAAGGAAGTCACTTGAAGTTGACCCAGTACATGCCTCTTTAGGAGGGTGTTGTAATAAATCATACAATCCCCTCCACAGTTCCCCAAACACTTCCCCTCTCAGCGCTGTGAACTTGAAGTTGGTGAAACAGAAAACCCAAAATTCTTCCCAGACGTCTGAAATACCAATGTCCTTGGAAAATCACTGTTGCCAAAAATGGTTGCAATACTGGAATAAAACAAATGGGGTGAGTCTCTTCAGATGAAAGAAAGGGTTACTTTTTACAGTGTCTTCTGTAATAACAAGGAGGTTTAAAATCCTTGGTTATAGTCACAATAATAATATTATTCCCCAAAGACGTCGTTTAGTCAGGGGGGAAAATGATACTATCCCATCATCCTTTGCAATACACATCCCACAACACGTGTCCCAGATGGCTGACTGTCAGCACCAGGCATATAGTCTTGTCATGTTTCCTTTAAAAGTGCAGCAATGGCAACAATTTGACCAGTAATTTTTGGTTCTTTGAATTATCAAAGGACTCAAGTAGTGTATGAGGCTATCTGACTTTTGTAACTTATGTACAACTTCTTACATTGTGTCTTAAACATTTATGCAAAATTTGCTTCAAAAATGGTGCTCAAACTTCACCAAACTAATGTGCTTTTCTACAAACTCTGTTGATTGGTGATATTATACATCTTGTGCATCAGAAAACCCCAAATGCACCAAAAAGCACCCATGGGAAACGAAAGAAAATTGCATTTGTTGATGATTATTACATAAATCATATCAAATATAATATTTTCTTCTGTTTCCCATGGGTGCTTTTTGGTGCATTTGGGGTTTTCTGATGCACAAGATGTATAATATCACCAATCAACAGAGTTTGTAGAAAAGCACATTAGTTTGGTGAAGTTTGAGCACCATTTTTGAAGCAAATTTTGCATAAACGTTTAAGACACAATGTAAGAAGTTGTACATAAGTTACAAAAGTCAGATAGCCTAATACACTACTTGAGTCCTTTGATAATTCAAAGAACCAAAAATTACTGGTCAAATTGTTGCCATTGCTGCACTTTTAAAGGAAACATGACAAGACTATATGCCTGGTGCTGACAGTCAGCCATCTGGGATACGTGTTGTGGGATGTGTATTGCAAAGGATGATGGGATATTATCATTTCCCCCCTGTCGTTTAGTTAAGGCGGCACAACACAGTTTTAGCCCTATGGGGATTTCTATAGTTAAGGACCCCAAAGTGACTCACTTCGACTCACTGAAAATCATAGTAGGGTGCACAAGCAAGGTTCAGATTTTTAATATGTTTAATTTCAGGGTATAGTGTACAACATATGCGAAAATGAGCTTAAATTTGCCGGCTAGTTTTCTTCTCATGCCCTCTTTTATTAGCGCCACTGCGGAGGTCATGGAACTGCAGCCGACGCACAGTACTAGGCGGGACAAGTATCCAAGCGCAAATCTACGCCGACTGAACACGCACCGTAATTCAACTTTTACAGTCTCAAAACTGACGTATTCCTCTAACACTTACCACAGGTTCTATCTCGATGCCATGCACAAAACAATCTCTGCACCCTTCTCTAGTATTGTGCAGCACTACTTTGTGCCCGGACTACTTTTGACTACGGGGTTCGCCCATAAATACTGTGTTGTGCGGCCATAACACGCAATCGACGACTCAGGGGAACAACGATTGCGAGAAGCGGAGCAGACGTTTATTACAACATTCACGGGCAACTTATGGCGGACAAAGCCGTCCCACGATGTGACCTCTAGTGGGGTCAACTCAACCTTGACCTTTAGGGTCAACTCAACCTAATAACCACTATAGTGACGCTGTTACAAGTATGTCCACTGTGCTCTGTGTTGGGCTTGTCGAGGCCAGTGTGTGAGTGTGTCTGTACTGCATGTGTGAGTGCGTGTCTGTGTGTGTGTGTGTGTGTGTGTGTCTGTGTGTCTCTCTCTCTCTGTGTGTGTGTGTGTGTGTGTGTGTGTGTGTGTGTGTGTGTGTGTGTGTTAGTACGTACG